TGTAGCAACAAGTTAAACAAGCTACGAGGATTAGGGCAGGGGATGTTCCCTCCATGCTGGATTTAACATTCACCAAGAAAGGGAAGAGATATTTGACATACAGTATCTTTCCCCCCTTGGGTAAAAGTGACCATGTCCTTTTGGGAATAAAGTATGCAATGTGTTATAATCTGGAAGAAACTGAGGTTCCCTAGACAAAATCAGAGTGCACTGTCTGAACATCAGAGGTCCAGAGCTGTTCAATACTCTCCCAGCAAACATTAGAAATATTTATAGAACAAAGGTGAACTTCAAGACCCAATTAAATAAGTTCTTGCAAGAAGTACCAGACCAACCAGACTCTAGTGGTGATATGGGCCTACAGGCAGCTGCAAGCAACAGCCTGTTGGACCAAGTTATCAAAAGTCAAGCCTGGCCTAAGGCCTGGCTCAGGAAGTACAATATAAGAACTCCCGAGACCCTCTCAAGGTAAGATTCAGGTAAGCAGTTCAAAAACCTGATTTCAGAAGAGGAAATTATGGGGAACTTAGAAAATTCTTTATGATATTTAATTGGAATGACTTGCTATTAGGCAAGGAAGTAAATGAGATATGTCATGTTTTGTAAAATATATGATAAGGCACAACAAAATTTATACCAAAGCAGAGATGCAGAACTAGGAAAAAGGATTGTTTCAACAGAAATTGTGAAAGGGCCAGAGACCAAAATACAAAAAAATGGAATTAATATAGGAAGAGGCCAAACCTTAAATGAACAGTTCCAAAGTGTGTTTGTGCAAAAGAACCAGACAATAAGAATTCCAGAGAACATCATAAGAGTACATAGAGGTGTCTAGAGACAAAGTGAAAAAACTGTTCAAGGAGCTAAGAACAAAGCAGTTGGCCCAGATGGAGTTTTATCATGGGTTCTTAGAGAATGCACACCCGAGCTCAGAATTCCACTTCAACTAGTTTATCAGACATCCATGTATACAGAAGTCCTAGTAGACATAGGGAAAAAGGCTGATATAGTTCCAATCAACAAAAGTGGCAGCAGGGAAGACCCCACTCAATTATAGACCTGTATCATTGACAAGTGTAATATTCAAGGTGTTGGAAAAAATAATCAAAACTTAATGGGTAGAACACCTGGAGAAAAATTATATAATAAGAGACAGTATGGTTTTCAATCTGGAAGATCCTGTGTAACGAATTTACTCAGTTTCTATGATAAAGCCACAGAAAAAAAGAGATGGTTTCCTCTCTCATTTACAAGAAAGAGATGGTTGGGTTGACTGCATCTATCTGGACCTAAATAAGGCTTGTGACAAGAGTTCCACATAAGAGGTTGTTCTGCAAATTGGAACATACTGGAGGAGTGACAGAGAGGCTTCTAACATGGATGAAAAATGTTCTAACCGACAGAAAAATGAGGGCAGTAATCAGAAGCATGAATCGGATTGGAGAAATGTCATGAGTGGAGTACTGTACCACAGGGTTCAGTTATTACACCAGTAATGTTCATTGTCTAATGTTTCCAGTAATGCTGCAAATGTAGATTTGATGGAGACCAATAGGCTCAAGAATCTGTACACCAAAAAGATTGTGACTACTATTGGAGACATACTGATTCAAGTTACAATGGCCTTCTTGCCTAATCCTATACAGTATACATCGCTATTAATTGGCTTCGTATGTCAATGAGCTTAAAAAATAAAAGTTTGAGAAGCAATTGATCATTCACCTCAGACTATTTTAATTTTCTTCTGTGCTGAAAAATTCACTATACAGTAAGGCAAGATTAGGATAGTTTCCCAACTCCTGTACTAAGCAGACCTTATGAGCTGGCAGCACCACATAAATGCCACAAAATAATGCCATTACTTTTAGATAAATACGTGTTTGAGCCAAATACACTGGCAGCAATGTGTGTGCTGTAACGTTATGTTACCTTGCACCCAAATAACAAACACTCATCAATCTGTTGTACACAAGAGAGGTTATTGGTCCAAGTTTTACCCCTTTCCCTCAATTAAAAAACTTTTTTTTTTTACTGATAAGGGACATGTCAAATATGGTACAGTTATTGGGAATCCCAGGTAGGACAGAATTGGTTAGGTAAGTTTCCTTTCACCTATCAATAAATATGTACCTGGGCATTAGTAAAGTGTTGTGGGGTTACATCTTGGGGAAGGTCAGTAGTTCAACCTTGGCGAGACCTCGATATAAGCTAAAAGTACATAAACACACACATGCTGCCTGTACCAACAATACAAATTATTTGATATAATCATGAGGATGAGGGAATTGCCTACAAATTTCCTTGGGAAGGGTCAGGCAAGTCACTTTCTTACAGTGCGGGGACCACACAAGTCACACGCTCTCGTAACATGGAGACTATGTAAATCACTTTCATATAGCGCAGGGACCACACAACACTTTCTTATAGTGTGGGAATTATGCATCGCTGTCTTACTGTGTGGAGCCCATTAGTTACTTTCTTATATTATAATACTAATAATAATACTGTACAGTAATAATAAATACTAGTAATAAATAATGATATTGTTTATTTAAGCAAAAGTACATACAGTATATATACATAGGATATAAGAAGATTGTATGAATTATGGGTAGGGCAGTTATAATGCCTAAAGCTACAGTTATAATGCCTAAATGACTACTGTACATGTAATGTGCACAGCATTTCGGGCATAAAACGGAAAAACTCAGAAGACTTAAAATAAATGAAATAAAAAAAATGAACTGAGGTAGATCAATACAAAATGACAATTATTAAATGATGACTGGAACAGCAAAATATCAACAGAATATAGTATTAACTATACAGCATAAACAGAAGGAATCCAATTCGTTATTAATTTTTACATGGCAGATAACAGCAGTAGCAGTACAGGTTCAGTAATTGAAGTTCAATAACAGCAAAACATAGATTGACATTTAGGAAGTAATGTAGGTTACATAAAGTTTATCAGGTACAGTAATTTAAGTTTAATAAAGTTTATCAGGTAATTAAATAGTTGAATTAATTAAATAGTTGAATTGTGTCCTCCTTTAACCATATTTCAGTAAGTTTAAGAATGGAGAATTTGTTGTTAACCGACTGAATTAAGGGACTATCATCATCAGAGTGTTTGATTGGAGATCTTACATTTAAGTAAATTGCAGATACATTGTGGTAACTTGTTAATACCTGTACATTGTTTACATCATTTGCTGTATAATAATACTGTACCTGCAATTTTGATCACTAATGTGGCAATTGTCATAGATATTCGATAAGAGTTTTAATTCTGGGTTAATGCTAGATTGCATTCAGACAACTGTCTGAACTTAAATGACTAGGTGATAAGTAATGATGTAATAGATAAACTAAAAATACAGCAATAATACTAATTAAAAAATAATTACAGTACAAATACTATTACTGTATTAGAAATAATTACAGAAAAATAATAATAGTAAACATACAGTAAATTAATACAACTTTACTTATTGACACAATGAATTACTGTATTTATTTTACAGTACTTCATTGTGTCAATAAGTACAGTAATTCATAGTTAGTAAAATACAGTACTAACATAAAAAGTGATGCACAATAAGTGAACAGAGAAGAGAAACAAAAATACAAACAAAATGTAAATGGAATAAAAGCAGTAGCAAATAACAATATTTTTTTTTTTTGGAGGGATATTCTTGCACGGGCCCTAAGCCTCTGGCCGGCCCACTAAGTGTTGCTTGTTTCTGTTTTACTTCGGCGGAGTATGAGTATTTATGACTTATATGGTCACTTCAGTAAGATTTTGTCCCACGTGTTTAACAACTTCTTCGGCTCTGTTGAATCTAAGTTGAAATAGTTGACAATTGAAGATTGAAAAATATAGTATGGGGACCATGAGCTACTTCCTTATACTGTCTAGTGTGGGCCTATGCAAGTCACTTTTTTGTGTGGGGTACCATGAAAGACAGTTTATAATGTTTGGTGGTCATGCAATTTTGTTTCCTCGTGAGGACTATCTAACATACGGTACCTGTATAGTGGGTACAACCACTGCAAATTACCTCAAGCCCATCATCACCCAGCAAAAATCTGCTATTGGAACTACTATAACAAACGGTGTCTTCAGACAACACACATCCACACTCTCTTTAAACCCCTAAACATGCTAAACACTCATTCATTCCACACATTCTCTTGTGCTATTTGCATGTACTTAACCTTGTTCCTAAATGCTAATCCTGATCTGAAAGTTTTCCTTGATAGATGTAATAAAACCCACGAGTACCATACCAGAAATAAATATCTTTCCCAGAAATGCTGTGTGTATTAGTGGCCTCAGGCATCGTATGTACTAGCACTATCTATAAATCCAACATTATGTTTGTAGCTCATTTTCAATGTATGTACCTTTACCTGAATAAACATCTTATCTCAGATACTCCTAGAGTCAAGACTGAATTTGTGCACACTCCATGCAAATGAAAGAACCCATGCAACCCCATGTTGTGGGGTTGCATCCTAGGGGAGGATCAGCCTATAGAACTCACTCCCCAATGAATTATTAAATTGTCCTATACTTTATTCAAAAATAAAATAAAAAGTACCTAATTACAGCCTCACAGTTTCCTAGCTAGTGCTAACTCTTACTGAATCTTGTGCTACCCACTCCCTCAATTTTAGTATTTAAGGCATGCAACTTCACCAATATAATCTGTATTATAAACTTATTATGTAGTTTTATTATGCTGAACTACTGTATATTATGCTGAACTACTGTATATTATGCTGAACTGTATGTTACATTTTTCAGTTAGCTCAAGGACCCGCCCAAAACAGTGTTAGTGGCTCTGCAAGACTAATGCTCGAACACCAAAGTTATAAGTTATGTACTCTCACAACCCAATGTACCTTATATATACAGTATTAATAAGAGTGAAGGATAGTGTTGAGCAGACGCCAGACATGTACCAGTTACTAGAGCTGAGAGAGGTACTCACTTCCTGGTGTGCGCCAGACCGAAGTCGGTGATCATGAGTCTGGAGTCGTTGCCAGGGTGGTAGTAGAGAAGGTTGTCAGGCTTGAGGTCCCTGTGGGTGATGCCCAGCCCGTGCAGGTACTTCACGCCCTCCAGCACCATCCTCAGCACCTTCACTGTCTCCCGCTCTGAGAACGGCCCGCGACTCATCACCTTCTCGAAGAGGTCACCTCCTGTCGCCAGCTCCATCACCATGTAGATCTTGTCGAGCCCCTCGAACACCTCCACCAGGTGGATGATGTAGGGACACTTGACGCGCCGCAGGATGGCCAGCTCGGCCTCAAAGGCCTCGCGACCTTCCTTCGACTCGATCATCTTGATGGCATAAGGCTGCTTGGTCTGTCTGTTCTCCACCCTCACCACCTTGCTGAAGGTGCCGTTACCGATCAGGGCCTTGATATCGTACTTGGCCGTGATCCGGGGATCGTATTTGGCCTTGAATTTGCTGTTCTTGTTAATCTGTCTGTCGAGTCTGATCCTCTCGGCCAGGTTGGAGTCGTTCTCGACCCTCAGCTCACACTTGACCTCTGTCTCCGTGGCTGACCCTCCAGGCACGCCCTTGTACTTCTCCTCGAAGACGTCCTCGATGTGGTACACTGTCTTAATGTCGCCGCCGCCGCTAACATTATCAATGACCTTCTTGCTCTCTATGCAACCCATGACGATTCTGTAGGTGGCCACATGCTGCTGCTGGTGGTGGTGGTGGTGGAGGCCGAGGTGGACGGAGGAGGAGGAGGAAGCGACACAGGTCACACCCGGGGCGCGGCACTCGCACAACTGCCCGCCGCCGCCGCCCCCGGGGCTCCGCTGTACGCGGCCTGGCGCCGCCACCCTCCCGGGTCCCACCCTCAACACTTACCTTCCACTACTCACCTAGTTGTGCTGGCCCGGATTGACCTTCGGCTCATTGGTCCCGCCTCTCAACTGGTGTACAGATTCCTGAGTCTATCGGACTTTATCATGACTACATTTTAAACTGTATATATGCTGTCTTCATCACTTGACCTAATACAAGAATGTTCACTACATTATTCACTGCAGTACTCCGACACACACAAAAAAAAAAACTAATGTCTCTGTGGCTCATTTGGGTGCTCAGTTTCTACCTGTTCTCTTGTGTGAATACCACCCGTGTCTTTATCTACCCCTATGTAATAATTCCTCTGGAAATAAAGAGAAAATACTGAGGCCATAATAAAAGAACTGCAGGTAGGTCAGAAGGTAATAAAGGTACAACAAGAGGGTCAGAAAGTTAATGAAGAGGATGTTTATGAATTTTCAATAATCGATAAATAACAATCATGTTAGATACATGATTCTCGTGGCCAGCCAGGAGAACCCGAAGGGTAAGACACTCGGGAAGAACACTGAGTGCTGGCAGAGCTGAGGATAGTGGTTTAAAGGCTCCGGCGAGAGAATCGGAAGCTTTGGATAGAAATAAACGAAAAAAACAATCTCTTTATATGGAACCATACAAAAGAAGAGAGTAAAAATGATCAATAAAATGTTGAGGCAATGATGGAACAACTGACTGGCGAATATCTAAACATTTCCCCAGGTAGGAAGGTTAGATCTAGATCGTATGCTAACATCAGAAGAGAACATAATTGATCAATACAGGTAGGTGGGAAAAGTTGATCTCGTGTGATCACCACAATAAGGGTCCCGATAGTACAATCGGGTTCGTTCTCGACGCACAGATGAGAATTCCGGGTTCGAATCATGGACAGGACAGAAATGGTTGGGCCTTCTTCCTTTCGCTGTTCACCTAGCAATAAGTAGGCACTCTCGAGTCAGTTTATTGTGGAGTTTCATCCTGGGGTCAGTACTTCGACCTTGTTGGGGGGGAGGGAACCTCGATATAAGTCTAGCGTGTATGAATACACACTGGCTACCTGTCCCTGACACAATGAAATATATTTATTATATAAAATGGACTATAAATATGGAAACATACATAAAGAGCCATGATGATGAATTTCTAGATTGACATCGAGGAGACAATCAAGGAATGAGAGAAAAACTGGACAACACCTCCTGGAGGGAGTCAATAGGTGACCGCGGCATGGAAGCCTCATGGGGAATTTCCAAGGTTCTTGGAATGAACTTGTTCAATAATATGTGTCAAAAAGGAGAAAGAAAAGAAAGAATTAGATGGAAGACACAGGTAGTAAAACGAGCATTAATAACTAAGAAGAACATCTGGAGAACGTATAAATCCACAATGAACATCATTGATTAAGATATATATATATATATATATATATATATATATATATATATATATATATATATATATATATATATATATATATATATATATATATATATATATATATGTCATACCTAGTAGCCAGAACGCACTTCTCAACCTACTATGCAAGGCCCGATTTGCCTAATAAGCCAAGTTTTCCTGAATTAACATATTTTCTCTTTTTTTTCTTATGAAATGATAAAGCTACCCATTTCATTATGTATGAGGTCAATTGTTTTTTATTGGAGTTAAAATTAACGTAGATATATGACCGAACCTAACCCTACCAACCTAACCTATCATTTATTCTGTTTCGTGTCTGGAGGTTAGGTAGCCGAAAAAGTTAGGTTAGGTCAATTGTCGAAAAACATGAAACCATTGGAGAAGCCGTTCATGAAAACTTGGCTTATTAGGCAAATGCGTTAACAACACTCCTCTTGGGCCTTGCATAGTAGGCCGAGAAGTGCGTTTTCTGGCTACTAGGTACGACACGGAACTCTGCTCATATATGACCGAACCTAACCTACCTAACCTAACCTAACCTATCTTTACAGGTTAGGTTAGGTTAGGTAGCCGAAAAAGTTAGGTTAGGTTAGGTTAGGTAGGTTAGGTAGTCGAAAAACAATTAATTCATGAAAACTTGGCTTATTAGGCAAATTGGGCCTTGCATAGTAGGCTGAGAAGTGCGTTCTGGCTACTAGGTACGACACACATATATATATATATATATATATATATATATATATATATATATATATATATATATATAAACTCAGTCACTCAGGAAATCAGATCAGGCAAAAGAAACTACGAAAGAAAACTTGGCCAAAATATAAAGAAAGATCCAGAGTCGTTCTGTGTCTATATAAGAAGTAAAACCAAAACACAGGCTGTGTGGTACCCTTAGAAGGTGAGACTAAACAAGTTATAATGGACGATAAAAGGCCACCAAACAATGTGAGTGAACACTTTACACGAGTGTTCACATTAGAAACATTAGGTCACATCCCATTAACCACACTAATGCTTGAAGGAGAAGAGTTAAGTGATATATGACCATAACATGAGACATTATCAGGAAGAACAGTGATAAACTAAGACTCAAAAGCCCCAGATGTGGATGGAATACAATCTCAAGTCATAAAGGAACTGACAGAAGAACTATGCATACCGCTGAAACTACTTACACAAAATCTCTGGACTAAAGGATAGTCCCCTTGGACTGGAAATATGCTAATGTCAACCCTATTTACCAAAAAAGGCAGAAAGAGTTCACCAAAAAACTACCATATGATCAGCTTGACTTCACACACCTGCAAGCTCACTAGAATGGAGAGAATTCTTAGGGAGGAAATTACTCACCATCTTTCAGTAAACAATCTTGTAAAGCCCATACTACGTGGCTTTATTAAAAATAGATCCTGTCTTACAAACCTGCTCACATTTTTGGAAACGGTCACCAGCTACTCAGACAAAGGCCTTCCGGTGGACGTAGTATACATGGATTTTACTAAAGCCTTTAATAAGGTACTAATGAAAGACTGACAGGAACTTACAGGCTCGTGGAATAAATGATAGAATATTAAAATAGATAAAACAATGGTTAAAACAAAAAAAAACAGAGAGTCGTGTTAAATGGGAATGAATCTGACTGAAGTAATATAAGGTAATATGGCTTAAGGCGTTGAGCTTTGCCTCAAGACGAAGCTTGGGCTGGTCTTTAAATTGTTTGGGTGGAAAGGAAGGGATTAAAATTTGAAAGGCGGGTAATCTCCCACTGGTGCAGGAAAGTGCTGGTGTTGTCTCTCTCTCTTGGTTCATATTGTAACTCTGGAACAGTCTGAGTTCAACTGCAGTGTTAGCAATACATTCTCAACAATGTTGACCTTCAATAAAGAAATTCTGGAGAGCTTTTGTTCAAGAGTTAGGATGAACTGGCCTAAGAATTTTTATGGCAATTAGAAAATTAATTTCAGTAACACGACGCTCGGAATATAATACTAATTCATTGTGTTGGGGGACAGGCTGCCAGGATGTATTCATACACGTTAGGCTTATACCCCCCCCCCCACCCAGATCTAATTACTGACCCCGCCCAGGATGCAACCCCACAACAAGCTATCTCTTGAGTACCTACTTACTGCTAGGTGAACAGATGCATTAGGTGATAAGAAAAAATGTGTCCAACTATTCATGTCCCGCCCGGGTTTCGAGCCGGATATTCTCCATTGTGAGTCGAGAACAAACCCGACTATACTACTGGGACTCCGTGGTAGATATAACCTGTTGTCTTACATTTTACCTGATTTACCTGAGGGCCAGTACTAACTCTAGTGGCCTCGACAAAAGCAGGAAGCCGGCGGCTTATCGTAGGTCTCCCCATTTGCCTTGATCTTTTCCAGATAATTTGTAAACTTAACACATTTTTGGCATTTGCGGCTTCGGCGGGTAGGCGGTGTCATGGGTCTATAACCCTGAGGGTGAAAAAGCAACTCCTGTTCTCATCCCTACATTGAGGCTTGTTGAGCTTGAAACCGTTGGTCCTTGTTTGTCTGACCTTTTGAAGAAATTGTGCGGATCAACATCCTCCAACTTGTTCAGTACAGGTATTTTAAAAGTTTCAATGAGATCCGTCCTGTCATGCCTGGTTTACAGTGTTGTTAGCCCTGTGGCCCTCAACTGCTCTTGATACGAGAGATGACTTAGCTCGGAAATTACTTATGTTACCCCAGTGTTGCCCTTTCTCCAGATCAGCTATGTCCTTCTGAAAATTAGGTCTCCATATTTGTAAACAGTAATTCAAATATGGGAGCACCAGAGACTTATACAGTTGAATCACTACCTCTTCCTTGTGCAGGCGACGAGTCACAATAACGTGGCTAAAGTATGTTGACCAGACCACACACTAGAAGGTGAAGGGACGACGACGTTTCGGTCCGTCCTGGACCATTCTCAAGTCGATTCGACTTGAGAATGGTCCAGGACGGACCGAAACGTCGTCGTCCCTTCACCTTCTAGTGTGTGGTCTGGTCAACACCTTTTCCTTAAAGTCAGCCCAGCCATTTGGGCTGGACGGTAGAGCGACGGTCTTGCTGCATGCAGGTCGGAGTTCAATCCCCGACGGTCCAAGTGGTTGGGCACAATTGCTTTCTCCCCGTCCCATCCCAAATTCTTATCCTGACCCCTTCCAAGTGCTATATAGTCGTAACGGCTTGGCGCTTTCCCTTGATAATTCTCTTCTCTTATTTAAAATCAAAGGTCCGCTTGATTATTCCAAGGGTTTGGTTAGCTGTTCTGACTGCTGCTCTACCTCTTGTGCAACTTTTATGTACCTAAATTATTGGGATCGTCTCAAAGCCCTCCAAATGTACTCACTAGAAAGAAGACGAGAGAGATATCAAATAATATACACCTGGAAGATACTGGAGGGCCAAGTACCAAATCTACACAGTAAAATAACAACGTACTGGAGTGAACGACATGGAAGAAAATGTAGAATAGAACCAATGAAGAGCAGAGGTGCCATAGGCACAATCAGAGAACACTGTATAAACATCAGAGGTCCGCGGTTGTTCAACGTCCTCCCAGCAAGCATAAGAAATATTGCCGGAACAACCGTGGACATTTTCAAGAGGAAACTAGATTTATTCCTCCAAGGAGTGCCGGACCAACCGGGCTGTGGTGGGTATGTGGGCCTGCGGGCCGCTCCAAGCAACAGCCTGGTGGACCAAACTCTCACAAGTCGAGCCTGGCCTCGGGCCGGGCTTGGGGAGTAGAAGAACTCCCAGAACCCCATCAACCAGGTATCAACCAGGTATGTAACATAAACACGGAGCAACAGTTTCACGCTCAAGAATTTTTTTAATTGTCAGGGAAAGCGCCAAGTCATTACGACTTTATAGCTTCTTGAGATGATTTTGGGGCTTTAGTGTCACCACGGCCCGGTCCTCGACCAGGCCTCCACCCCCAGGAAGCAGCCCGTGACAGCTGACTAACACCCAGGTACGTATTTTACTGCTAGGTAACAGGGGCATAGGATGAAAGAAACTCTGCCCATTGTTTCTCGCAGGCGCCCGGGATCGAACCCGGGACCAAAGGATCACAAGTCCAGCGTGCTGTCCGCTTGGCCGACCGGCTCCCTCTTGCACTTGGAAGGGGAAGCAAGAAGCTCCTTCCAAGAAGCACTTGGAAGGGGTCAGGATAAGGATTAGGAATGGGACGGGGGTTAAGGAATGGTGCCCAATCACTTGGATGGTCGGGGATTGAACACCGACCTGCATGAAGCGAGACCGTCGCTCTACCGTCCAGTCAAAGTGGTTGGGTCAAGAAGCCACAGTGTAGGGCTGAAAACAGGAAATGCTTTTTCACCCACAGGGTTATAAACCCATGAAATCGCTTACCTGCCGAAGACGTAAATGCCAAAACTGTTAAACTTTAAAACCCAGCTTGATAAAATCATCAGGACGAATGGGGAACCTTAACAAGCCACCGACTTCCTGTCCTCATCGAGGCCAGTAGAATCTTAGTGGGCCTCAGGTAAATTCGGGTAAAAGCTATTGACTACTTATAGTCAATGGCTTTTAGTTCTTAAGCCATTGGCTAATTCGTCTCCTTTGAGCCCAATCGAGATATGGTGCCCTGAGGTAAACTCTGTTTATTAGTGTTTGGATAACAGATTTCTCAGCACTATATGTAGGTTATGGCAAATCCTCCTGCTAATTGGGGTTTTTATTGTAACATATAGTTATGGCTAGATCGTGAATATAAAACTATGTATCCCTTTATATATTGTTTAGGTTAGCGCAAACCTCGCACGTAGATTCTATATATACTGGCTGTTAAAGTGTCTTAATCTAATGTGAAAAGGAATGGTGGTAGAGTCAAGAGGTGACTGGTGAGGGTGGGGCAGCAAGGTGCTCATTAATAGTGGGCGGAGGTGTACAATACCAGCAGGTGAATACAAGAGAGGAACAGTGCCCCTTCATAAGACCAGTTTCAACCAATCACCGCCCACACTCACATAACAACAATTCTTTCAGCCAATCACCACACACCCTCACATAACAACAATCCTCTCGGCCAATCATCGCTCGATCTTCCTTGCGTCTATATCTCTGTCCGGGTTTCATGAGTGCTGACTTCCTCGCAACAATTGTTTTTATATATTTTACATCTTAGAGTTTTTTCTAGGAGGATTAAAAAGTATTGTTTACAAATTTATATGTTTATTATATATTTACGGAAATGTATCTTTTTATTGTGTCTCATAATGGACATGGCAACAGTGAATAGGCACAATCGGACAAGCGATCAAGATTACCCCAACCAACATGGCTGATGGACGGAACACTTGTTTTGAATAGTGATTTGCTGCTGTAGTTCTTCACCAACGCCTTGAATATGTCCTGACCAGGTAAGCCAGTATGTGTCACCTCTTCCAGAGTGGCCGACGTAACTACAGTTTTCCCAGCACGGCTCAAATTACCCCGTCAACAAGTGGTCTTGACACGGGATCAGGCTGGAGACCCGAGAAGCCAAGTAAATGTTGTTTTGGCTGCACAAGGAGACTGTCAGGAAGTGGGTAGCTGTAGGATGGCTGGTAATTGTGTTAGAGGTGGACAGGGTTGCCTGTACGTGCCTGGGAGACACAGGAGCTGGACACCATAGCTGGGGAGGGTGATGCCCAGATGTAAACAGGGGCTCTTGGTGGTGCCAAGTGCCCAGTCAACAGGAAAGATGGCCGACTCTTGCCCACTTCTTTAGAAAACTTATTAAGTTAACCTTCATATGCTTTAGCTTCGGGCACTAGGTGTATGGGATGACCTGGAGGATACCTGGAAGGTACCTGGAAGATACCTGGAGAGGGTTTCAGGAGTTCTTCTGCTCCTCGAGCCTAGCCTGGGGCCAGGCTCGATTTGTGATAACTTGGTCCAACAGGTTGTTACTTGGAGCGGCATAGTGGCAGGTGGGAGTGTGGTCGTTTCATAGTCTGGCATGACATTGTGATCAGTTTGTCTATATATTTTAATTTCATAGCCAATATATTTCAGGTTTGGTGTATGTTTTTAACATTCACACCTGCCTATTTTATTCTTCACACATTCCTAATATAAGGTAAAATGTAGGTTAGAATTGGTGTGAAATCTACAGTACAGGGTATATGCCAAACACTAGAAAGTGATATGTGGGGTCCAGGCCATCTAGCCATTTTTCTAACGTAGAAAGAGAACGCAGACGACACTATAAACGCAGGAAAAAAATAACGGAACTGCTTATGCAGACACGAATTTCCCGTCAAAGAAGGAATAATTTAAATAGGGAGATTGAAGAAATCGAGCGGAAATTGAAACACATATGAAACTGAAGAAAGGCAGTTAGAACAGAAAGCCATTCAGGAAATAAAGAAAAGTCCAAAATATTTCTTCTCATATGCGAAATCAAAAGCAAAAACCACTGCCAGTATTGGACCTATTCGTACAAGTGAAGGTTCATACACGGAGGATGACAAAGAAATTGGTGAAATCCTAAAAAAGCAGTATGAGGACATGTTTAGCACTCCAATAAACAACATGAAGGTGGAAGATCCAGACAATTTCTTTATGCGGGATATTCAAACCCCTGTAAATATAACTGATATAAACACGAGCGCACTAAATTTTGAAAAAGAAATTGAAAACATGCCCATGCACTCGGCCCCAGGTCCAGACTCATGGAATTCAATATTTATAAAGAAATGCAAAGTGCCGGTAGCACAGGCACTCAGTATAGTGTGGAGGAAGAGCTTGGACACGGGGGAGATACCAGATGCACTTAAAGTAGCAGACATAGCCCCTCTACACAAGGGAGGGAGCAAAGCATTGGCAAAAAATTATAGACCAGTTGCACTAACTTCGCACATCATAAAAGTATTTGAGAGAGTGATTAGGAGTCAGGTCACCAATTTCATGGAGACCAATGACCTTCACAACCCAGGCCAACATGGATTTCGAGCGGGAAGATCGTGCCTCTCACAGCTACTTGAGCACTACGACAAAGTCACTGAGGCATTAGAAGAGAAACAGAATGCTGATGTGATATACACGGACTTCGCAAAGGCTTTCGATAAATGTGACCATGGCGTGATAGCACACAAAATGAAGTCAATGGGAATAACCAGTAAAGTAGGACGCTGGATACTCAGTTTTCTGTCAAACAGGACTCGGCGAGTAACTGTCAACCATATAAAATCTAGTCCAAGTGCAGTGAAAAGCTCTGTACCTCAGGGTACAGTCCTTGCACCGCTGCTTTTCCTTATTCTCATATCAGATATAGACAAAAATACAAGTCACAGCTTCGTATCATCCTTTGCAGATGACACAAAAATCAGTATGAAAATTACCTCGGCTGAGGACATTGAAAAACTTCAAGCTGATATTAATAAAGTTTTCGACTGGGCATCAGAAAATAACATGATGTTTAACAGTGATAAATTCCAGGTACTCAGGTACAGTAAAAATGAGGACCTTAAACATAATACAGAGTACAAAACACAATCAAATGTACCCATAGTAGGAAAACAGCATGTAAAGGATTTGGGAATAATAATGTCTGATGACCTAACGTTTAAGGAGCATAACCAAGCAAATATTGCGACAGCCAGAAAAATGATAGGATGGATTACGAGAACTTTCAAATCCAGGGATCCCATCACAATGGTTGTACTCTTCAAGTCACTTGTGTTGTCCCGTCTTGAGTACTGTTCAGTACTTGCTTCCCCCTTCAGAGCAGGAGAGATTGCTGAAATAGAGGGAATACAGAGAACATATACGGCACGCATAGATGCAATAAAGCACCTAAATTATTGGGATCGTCTCAAAGCCCTCCAAATGTACTCACTAGAAAGAAGACGAGAGAGATATCAAATAATATACACCTGGAAGATACTGGAGGGCCAAGTACCAAATCTACACAGTAAAATAACAACGTACTGGAGTAAACGATATGGAAGAAAATGTAGAATAGAACCAGTGAAGAGCAGAGGTGCCATAGGCACAATCAGAGAACACTGTATAAACATCAGAGGTCCGCGGTTGTTCAACGTCCTCCCAGCAAGCATAAGAAATATTGCCGGAACAACCGTGGACATTTTCAAGAGGAAACTAGATTTATTCCTCCAAGGAGTGCCGGACCAACCGGGCTGTGGTGGGTATGTGGGCCTGCGGGCCGCTCCAAGCAACAGCCTAGTGGACCAAAGTCTCACAAGTCAAGCCTGGCCTCGGGCCGGGCTTGGGGAGTAGAACAACTCCCAGAACCCCATCAACCAGGTATCAACCAGGTAACCTAACTGAGGGTGGTCCAACATCTAGAGCATTATAGCAAGTAGAAAATTTGAATAAAGTTAGTTAGCCTTCTTAACCCCTGCACTGCTCACACATTTTCGGCAAAAAAGTCTTGGTGCAATTGTCAAGGACATATTTTTGTTGTTTTCATAAATGCTCAGGTAAAGTTAATGTCAAAATGTTTCCAAAGTCAACTATTTCCCTTTCAGAACACAAAGAGTAATGAAAACATTAAAAAACATAAAAATACTGTATAGTCTAATTAAAAAACAAAACTCACAACTCTTAGAGCGCCTAAAGGCGCTTTGCGCAGTGCAGTGGTTAATGTTATATGATGAATATGTAAAAATGTTATCGAAATACAGTAATTTATGTATATATGTATATATATGTATATGTATATGTATATATATGTATATGTATATGTATATATATGTATATGTATGTATATGTATATATATGTATATGTATATATATGTATATGTATATATATGTATATGTATATATATGTATATGTATATATATATGTATATATATATATATATATATATGTATATGTATGTATATGTATATGTGTGTGTATATATATATATATATATATATATATATATATATATATATATATATATATATATATATATATATATATATATATATATATATATATATATATATGTATATATGTGTATATATTATATGTATGTATGTAAATAATCATACATTATAATTTTAAATGTGGTATCATTTTTACTTGACCTAGTAAAATGCATAGTTATGTGCTCACATAACCGTATGTATCGTCTTGTATATAAATAAACAAACAAGTAAAACTGGTTAACATTGAAATGATGGGAATAAAAAATGTTGTGTATATAGCATTCAATATTTTAAATAAAGATTGTTTAATTTCTTTCTCTGGTTACAAAAAATGCAATTTTTAATTTATTTTAAGGGTTCCAATTTTTGAATCCCTTCTTTCCCAGGCACACTTCTCAAACCATTGTTCTCTCGTGCATTAACCCAGTTTGTCTCTTCTGTCTTACTAAGAACTTTCCCTTTGGCCTCCTCTACTGAGGTGGTGTTCAAGTAAAGCTCTGGGAGCTACTGAGCTAAGAAGCTACCCTGCCAGAAGCTAAGCATTGAATGTAATGAAGTGCCCTTTCTTAGTGGGCTCGCTGTGGCTCATTGTCCCCACCATTTTCCCTTCTTTTTTGTGTGGTTAATAATTTTGAGTGGTTGTTGGCTCCAGTGATTTTCAGCTAAGTGGGTTTTTGGACTTGATTCTATATGGTATTGGTTTGTAACTTGTGATGTAGCATGAGCCCGGATTTTTGGTGATTGGAGCTGCAAATGCTCAGGGCTACCTTTCCCAAGTGCTCTGTAGCACTGCCCATGCACTAACAGAGTTCTCCGGTATGTTCAAGAGTTTGTACTCTTAAAGGTGTGTTTTGTTTGGAGTTGCCCTTGTCTTAGGTTAGGGGTCTAGTTGCCCCTAACCTGGGTTAAAACAGGTGGAACTAGTGTTGTCTGGTGGAGCACTGGGGACTCAAACTTGTTTCATACGGTACACTGAGATTGACCCTTACAGCTGTGTAGGCTTACTTTTAGGTCTGGCATAGCATCCCTAGTGCATGGGTGTCCAGCTTGGTTTACCCTTCACGCCCTGGTAAACCCCTTGTGGTTTGTATTGATTAATGTTTTTTTCCACAGAGTACATGGAGGTGTCTCAAAACACCTATGTACTGTATTCTGTTATTCTCTGAAATTCGTATTGTCTGGTTCTCTGAAGACCTTATTTTGCACTTTGGATCTGTTCGTTTTAATTTTTTGTTTCTGCGGGGAAGGGTCTTAGGGTTCCCTGAAGCTACAGTTACTGATAGTAACTTTAGGGAGCCACCGGAGATCATCTAGAAATTAGTATTTCATTACGTTCAACACTTGGTTCTTTTTTCTTCTTTACTATTGTAAAGTGTAGTAAAATGGTAATACTGTAATACAATATATAATTACGTACAGTATTCACACAAATGCCAAAGTTGAATATGTTTTCAGAATAAAATAGACTGTGGTAATTTGTATTTTTGAAAATAAATCTAGAATTACTGTGGTCTAATTGTGAATACTTTTATATATTTTTTCAGGGGAGTAGAGGATCTAGTGGTAGTGAATAACAATGGGGAACAAGCACAGCTGTTGTGTGTACCCTGGAGGTCGAGGCTCGGGCCGCTCTGCCTCCAGTCAAAAGGTTTGTCTTGACTACTGTCATTATGTATCCCATTAAGGTACTCCTTATAGCTTTCTCTATTCAATTCAATTTCTTTCTTTATTATGCACCCCATACCCATGCCGTGGGCAGTGGTGTAAAGGGTTACAGAGGCACATAATAAGTTCAGGAACTAAACCCCCAAGCTTTCTCTATTAATTTTGTTTTTCTTTCTTTGACAAAATGTTTGGTGTCTGTACAATATGCATTTATGTATAGACTGGAAACTTTAAAATACAATGTATCTTGGACTTAACACTTTCAGCTCGTGGCGACGGCTATTGCGTCCATAATTATCTTTCCAGATGTCGACGGAGATGCATTTTGCATTGAGAATTAAAATGTTTGTTAAAATTCCAGTTATTGTTTGATTATTATGAGACTAGTATTAAAATGTGCACCTGTAAATGTCAAACAATTTGATACCAAAATGAATGACAGCACAGAAATTGAGGTCAGAACACTGGAAAGAGTATACACTTTTTAGTGTGGGTACACACTCCCATGAAATGCCAGGCCCACCTTTGGGTGGGCTGGGGCACGCACACCGGGCTACGCAAAGTGTTAAGAGTTAGTTAAACTGTCATCATTAATGTCTGCTACCAACTTGGTGCTTCTCTACATTGTTTTCATCAATTTGTGCCATGTTCACCAGTCAATAGGAGCCTGTCAATAGGAGCCTTGTGGCTTTCCCTGTGTGGAGTGTAACACCTCGGATTGAACTCTATACGTAGCTTGACGAGTGTATGGGATTACACGAAGAAGAGGCACACTAAAGTCTTGCATCTATGGACTAGGGAAATGATAAGTAATTGATAGACACAAAAGCAGCTGACGCTGTTTATTGTAACCTGTTCAATAATTCCTGTTCTTGGGGGCCAGGAAGTCTGTACCTATTTTACTGTTAGGTGAACAAAGTCATCAGGTAAAAGGAAATGAATCCAATTGTATCTTGTTCCTGGGGGACTGAACCTGGATCCTTCAGTTGTGAGCTGATCACATACAGTAGTACATAAATCTCGCATTTTTATTCAGCCCACATTCTTTTAACTTTTGTGACCTATGGAGTGTGATGATTGTGATCATTTACATCTCGAGTCACAAGAAAATGTGTATACAGTACCAAAATTAAGTGAATATTAGTACTTAATGATGTCTATAATATTATAAATAATCAGGCAGAAGGGGAAGGAAGTCAAAGGTGGAGGAGGATAATTTATGAATAATTAGTACAAGTATGACACATGCTGGCTACAGCATGAATATTTAGTGTACTGCTGTCGTGTGTGGATTATCTAAGGCATACCTTGCTGTGGCATGGTAAATGTCAATTTGTTATGCTTCACCTATGAGAAGAGTATTGTGTAATACAGTATTTGTGTTGTTACATGGCAGGGGGCTGGTGGAGGGTCAGGAGATGCTAACCATGAAGATGTGTCTGAGGAGCACATGTATAACCTGCAACACATCAGTGAGAGAGAACCTGATGATCTTGACCAGGACCCAAGCCTTCATCCCTCAGCTGGTCCACTCTTCCTCTCCAAGTCTAGACAACTTATTGAGAGTAAGTAATTATGAATAACCTTCTTTACAGTGTGAGTGAAAGCTTTTGTAGTTGCCCAAATGTAGTTGCAGCGTGAGAGCTACGCTTGTAATGTCCTGTCTTCCCAGTACTCTTTGTCGTGTAACGTTTTGTAACCAAGACAGTTTTGGCCTCCACCGTCTCGCTTAACTTGTTCCAACCGTCTGCCACTCTGCAAAAGAAAACTATATAATATTTTTTTCGTTATAATTTTTACCCCCCTTCTTTCTTGACAAAGTGTGTCATTTCCTCGATTCTTTACCTTTCTTCCTCTTTACTAATTGTTAGTTTGTAGCTGTGGACTAAGCGTCTAATGGTGTTTACGTGTTTTGCTTTCTGTGAAGTTTGCAGTTGTTTGTAATATTTTGCTTGCTTTCTGGATGTTTTCTCAGTGAGGGGTAATCATAACAATCTTCTGCTTCCTGTGTTTCTGTGAGGGGCGGGGCCAGGTTCAGACTGTGGTCTCTGATGAGGCACACGGGACTCCTATGGCTGATATGACACAGTTGGGAAAACTATCTCAGTGAGGTAGCTTCAAGAAACCACCGAGGCCATACCAGAAAGTCATTTAATTACAATTAATGCTTTTTTACATCTCGTCTGTTTTCAACCTCTTACCTCTGTAATGCCTTGTTGCACTATTTTCTCGGCTATCATTCTCATTGTGAGTTGGACCCTCGGTCACATTATTTCATAAAGCCACCGTGTTTCTCTCGTGTAGCCTAACCTCATCTAACACAGACTTCAGCAATCTCATCTGTCAATTATCTCGGTGATTCAGCCTGTATATTTGGTAAATGTTTATTTTGAATTGTTACCCGAATTTGCAAATTATAGTTCAGCAAAAATTATTTTTGAAAAAATTTAGTTATAGATACAGTACTGTACAGGTACTTGCATTGTGAATGCAAATATCACATGTTTGTGAAGCAAATGTCACAATGTTGCTGAAAATTAATAACCCAACCCACACATGTGAAAAAGTGACAGCATTTAGGTTTGATGAGGGTCCAGGATGGACCAAAATGTTGTCACTTTTCTCTCTGTGCATGTGGGTTGGGTTATTAATGTATGTGATATTTGTTGTTGAGAACACAGTTTCTCGACACCAATGTAAAGAAGTAACAAGTTGAAAATAGACTTTGTGTAGTGTAAAACCCTTGCAGGTGAAATATTGTCTACAGTCTATTCTCATCTATGTATTTCTCAACGTAGTTGTGGCAAGATTGGCAAGAAATTTCAAGTGATGACTTGAACAAGGTTATTTATTTATTTTATTTTTCTTACAGATGGCCTTATCAGAAGAAGAAGTAGAAGTCATGTGAGTATTCTACCTAACACTCTGGCGTTACGGGGTCTGCCCACGTGCTACCCTTTGAGGTGAATCGGGTATGAGTGGGTTAGCAGAGTGCTGCACGTGAATGTTTTTGCATTTTTCTAATTTATAATGTTGTTTATTATCGTTCATTAGTTTCTTTAAATGTAGGTGTTCACAAATGATTTTTTTTTAATAAAAATATTAAAAAAGGATATTTTTACAAATTTAATATTATTTCAATGGTGGGGTTGAAATGGATTTTATTCAATAAATGATTATCCTGCACTGTGTAAAAAAAAAAAAAATAATTTACGTTGTAATGCTGGTTGTCATGCATAGTTTTGTTTACATGTTAATGTTTATGCAGATGATTGCATTATTGTATTTAAAAACAAAAAGGATTGCATTATAGTCACGTCTTATGCACACGCACCTCCCATACCCCTAAACTACACTTTGAGCGAACAGGTTGATGGAGTACTAAACATGAATGAAGTACTGTACAGTATATGTAGTTAGTTTTGCAGCCGTTTATTACTATATGTAATTTGTTTTTGTGATAATGTTCACAAATGATTGGTCGATCCTAGAGTAAAAAGAAGAAAGAGGATTGTACAGTACAGTATAACAATTTATGCTAGTGTTACCATAGTGAATGTGAAGCAGTTTTGCCTGGATTGTGGAAATAGTCATCCAGTCTTACAATGTGTACAAACATTTAATACTTTTACAGCTGTTCATTGACACATACATAGTTTTTGTAAGTGTGAATGTTTGCATATGATTGCTCAATTGTATGGGAGAAATACAGTGTTGCTTAAAAATCTGATTCATGGGAAATTTCAAAGCAAATGGCAAAATATATATATTCTTCATCAATGACTTGCTCCTTTTATCTATTGCTGCTACATGATGAGGTAATATATAATATTCACCGTTATAACATCACTTATTTGGCTACTGAAACAAATGGCTATATAAATGTGTGAAGAAGTGCAAGCATCGACATGTCCATGGAGTCATACTGTACTCGCCTAGTTGTGCTTGCAGGGGTTGAGCTCTGGCCCTTTGGTCTGTGTGCTAGCAAGCATGGCCGACCCATCACGTGGTTGTCTTAAACTTCACCCACTCCTGAAATGCATTATATATAGTCTGTCATATTATAACTTTATATTTGTGCTTGGTGATCTTCACGAGTCGGTGTTACATACTGAGTCGTGAGAATGGGAGTGTATTAATATACCCCAAGCAACACGGTTACACGTGTTTGTCTGGTCTGTCTGCTTATCTCTTTGGCCTTGTCCCTTGTATACTAAACTTTTCCATAATATGGCCCTCTTCAGTCTGAATATTAGTAAACAACTTTACTGTACTGCATAATATTAATATTATTCTGTTCGATAATCTTTATCAGTTTTTCTACCTACATACTTGATAGTTAAGTGGCTGGCAGTGACCCTGCATTGGTTACTGTCTCACTATTCTGCCACTTGCTGCTTGCTATATTTAGACAGGAAAATGGTTGGAGCGATGTGTTCAATGAATATCTGATTAGTCATATATTTTTATGTATTTGAATTGAATTATTTACTACAATTTTGTTCGTAAACCAGTTGGATGATGGTCGAACTTTGAAGAAGTCTTCATCCTGCTCAACTATCTATTTGGATGACTCGACAGTCTCCCAGCCTAACCTGAAAAACACAATAAAGTGTGTAGCACTTGCAATATACTACCACATCAGAAACCGAAATGATAACAGGGTGCTGGACATATTCGATGAGAAACTTCACCCATTAACGGTAAGTCTCTTTATATAGTGGCATTTGTTTAAACATAGTAAAATAAATCTTGATGAATGAAGCACATTTGAATATTTTTTCCTTATAACCTTTTTGAAAAGGTTATATTTGGAGTCTAAATACTGAACATTACTGTACAAGGTTTGTTTGGCAGACATTTAAATAAATTTAAGGAGTACTGTACATGTGCAATAATATACTGTACTGTGGAGAAAATATAATACAAAAATAAAACATTTTAATTGGGCTACAAAATTTGGCATTCGGCTGATAATTGGCTTGCATCTATGTGTAGTATAATGTCTTGAGAGTTTTGAGCCAATGAGGTTGCTGCTTGAGTGTTGGTACCATAGGTACCTGGGTGTTGGTCAGCTGTCATGGGCTGCTTCCTGGGGGTGGAGGCCTGGTCAAGGACCGGGCTGCGGGGACACTAAAAAAAAGCCCCGAAATCATCTCAAGATAACCTCAAGATTGGTGCTGGCTTCATAACACATTCATGGTGACTTGCCTTATTGGCAAATGTGTACAAAGACATTAATGGTGACATGTGGTTATTAGTCCGGGCTATTGGGAATTTTGCTCACTCAAGTGTGTTTGTAGACAAATGTCATTAAACAGTGATTTCCATTACTAGGTGTGCATTACACAACAAGGTATAGTATGTCTCATAAGGGCCAATTATGTGTATTTACTCTAAACTTGCATAATGTAGAAGAAACGGTCAAGAGCAAGGTATTCCATTTCAGAGGGATGGAGTTCCTCCTGACTATGACAGACACAATCCTGAACACCGGCACATCTACAAGTTTGTACGGACACTCTTCAATGCTGCTCAGCTCACTGCCGAATGTGCAATCATTACGCTAGTCTACCTGGAGAGGTTAGTGTCAGTTTGCAAGCACTGAGAGAGTGGTACCTGTTGATATGGTCACAATACAGGAATAAATGTGGTAAGGTTAGATTAGTTCAGGGAAGATGAGTTGTGTAGAGTATACCGCCTCTTACCTGAATTCGAGTTGCCTTTTTGTTTTGCATTGTCTATCATGATTCGCCACACTTTTTACCTTGATTCCAATATTTTTCCATATAATTAACTCTCCTACTTCTTGCAGTACCTGTACTGTGTTTTTTCCTATAAAAACATGTCAGTTATGACGCACTGCAGCAGGCCTCTTGACCTATACTAGGTTAACACGTACCTATCCAATCTATTCTTGAAGCCTGTTAAACTGTTTGTCAAAATAATACTAGATGGCAGCCCATCCCACCCACCCATCCACAGCCTGTTTCCAAACCCAGCACTGAATGTAATGAAATGCCTCTTTCTGGACGAATCTCGGTGGCTTCCTGAAGCTATAAGGCCGAGATTGCTCCATGCAAATGGTCACATCAAAAGCACGAGTTCAGCTTAGACAACTAGGAACCAGAGCCAAAACCAGAACCCCTCACAGAGGTGCAGAGATTGAGTGACAATGCACCAGAACCCCTCACAGAGGTGCAGAGATTGAGTGACAATGCACCACCACACCAGGAAATCACCCAGAAAGTCAGAAGCTTTACACACAACTGGAGGAATAACGAGGACCTAAGCCTCCAAATCGACAATCAATACCACAAACAATTCACACAGAACAAGAACAACATTCAAAATAAGTGGGACTCATGATACTAAATGCCACCAGGCAGCCCAGCTTCTGCATGCAGCCAAATGCCTCAAAGAGGCATTTAATTACATTCAATGCTGGGTTTCTCTAGGCTGCCCTGATGCTAAATAACCACAGAGAAAAACTGGGACTTGCCACAGGAGGAGGAGAGGCAGCATGCACTATGATGGAGAAAATCCAGCTTGGGCCTTGGCCCACTTATCCACCTTTTTATTTTTTTCTTCTATTTCTTCTCCTCCTCCCTCCCCCACCCCCCCTCTTTCCGGAGGTGATTACTCGGTTTTGGTCTTCTGTGGCTGCTTCTTTCCGGTTGAATTCTGAACTTTTCTGTTCCTGTGGTTCTTATCCTCGCTCTTGGAGATGATCTAGTAGGGCCAGGGCTTCACCTGCTGGGTGTCACTGCAGGCTCTTGTTGGAGCCAGATTCAGGTCGTGTCTTTCCTGTTGTTGATGTGTCTTCTGCTTGTTGGCGCTGTTTTTATACTTTGCAGAGGGCTACCACTGGTTTGTTCCTTTCGCTGGGCAGTTGTTGATGGAGTGGAGGGGGGGGGGCCTCGTCTGGTTTGCAGACTTCTTGTCCCACAATTTGTGGGCTTTTTGGGTTGTTTTACAAGGCCATCAATTGGAGTTGGTCAATCCTCCTTCCCTTCTGGGGGGTCAGTGCTTTTGGAGCAGGCTTCTTCCCCTTGCCTGAATCGGGTCATTGCAGAATGGGTGGCTTCCAGCAGTGTCAAAACGAATGCATCTCTTTGCTGGATGTCCTCTTCCTGTTTCCAAAATGGGACTTGGCAGAACTCCAGTTCATCCTCGGTTTGTCATTGATTGAACTAGTTCATCCTTTGACCTACTTTCTGTATGAACACTCTGGTCCAGGTTCATCTCATGTTGGAGGCTGGGTCTTGGATGATTTCCCCCCTGAACCTCCAGGATGTTTATTGACACATCCCTATATAGTGCTGTATATCCAAGATTCAGGGATTGATTAGTTTTTGTAGTAGAGTGTCAGGTCTACTGCTTCAGGGTGCTTCCCTTTAGATTGCATCTGGGTTCTTGTGTTTTCACCAGATTGACACAGGTCGTTATTGTATTTGTTTTTTGTGGGTTCATGTCCTGGCCTACCTCGACAACTGGTTTGTGTGTACTAGTCAGGGAACTGGTTCTTTCCCAGTTCGCTGGGTTTGGGTTCCTGGTGAACCAGCGGAAGTCCCAGTTGGTTCTGTCACAGATTCAGACTTAGTTGGCCTCATGGGGGACTCTTAACCAGCGTTACTTTCCCTTCCTCTGGCGACTTTGCTCTGGCTACAGTGTTGTTGATGTTGAGGCAGCCCCAGGTGACTGAGCAGTTGGTTGTGCCCAAACTTTTTTTGTGTGGATCGTGCAGCAGCAGCCTAATGACCTGTAGCGGATATACAACAGAGTTCCATCATACAGTAGTTCATTGAATACTGGAGAAAGCCTAATTTTTTTCATATGGTCACTAGCCCAGCAGAGACCTTTTGAGCACAGTGACAACCAGTGCAACGAATGATGCCAGTACAGTACATTTCTGTGCACTGTTACCAATGTGCTCCTGTTTGCTGCATTACATATGAATATGGTTTGCTCTCTTAATGGTTAATTATCATACATAATGACATGTTTATGTAGTAATATATACTGGTATATTATATTGGTTAATTGTTACAGCTAGGCAAGAATAGGGACCTTGACATTAGTTCATTGTAAGAATCATTTAAATAGTCATTTTTAGTGTTTCGTTGCTATTATTAGCGTAGTTTTTTAAGATATGAATTTAGCAAAATTCAGTTGAATTATCTAGGAATGAAGTTGATATAAAAACATGTTTACACAGGGTACCATGTTTGTCTAGACGTCTTGCTTTACCTCGGCATGCCTCGGCAACGTTACATAGCCTCTTCCTTCCAGAGATCATCTCTGTTTAATACCTAATCCCCCTTGTATATTTTTTTTTATATTATGCTATATATTATTTTCAGATTGTTGACATATGCGGACATTGACATGACACCGGGAACATGGAAGCGCATTGTCTTAGGTGCTATCATTCTTGCCAGTAAAGTTTGGGACGACCAAGCTGTGTGGAACGTAGATTATTGCCAGATATTAAAGGACATCTCTGTTGATGACATGTAAGACAACTCTTATTTTGTATGCTCTCTGTTTTTAATTACTATTTAACACACCAGTAATATTTGCAGGTAGATTACTTGTAATGGATATCTTGTTTTAAAGACAACTAATGGGATTGATTCAGGTATGGAAACACTTCACTTTAATAAATGGAGAACATTATTTCATGTTCATATCCAGTGATTGAACAAATGTTAAACAATAGGTTTCCTTTATGCTTTATTACAATAATTGTGCATGGGGCTCATTTCAGTATAGTTGATGGTCAACAGTTAATATTGGCTGGTGTACACTGTGCTCACAATTACTGTGACTGTGTACCTAGCTTGCTCACATAGGCAGGAAGTGTGAGGTCAGGTCAGGGCAGGCATGTGTGGGGTTCGGCAAGAACGAGGACATTTGTGCATGTGTGGGGTTTGGCAAGAACGAGGATGCGTGGGTGTGGATGTTTGGGGTCGGGCAGGGATGTGTGGTGTTGGGTGGAGATGTGTGGTGTTCAGCACTGGTGTGTAGGGATGGGTGAGAATTAGGGTAGGTGATGTGGGGAGGAGGTTTATGTGGGGGGTGGTTGATGAAGGGCTGAATGGAGATGGGTGATGGGGGGGGGGGAAGGTTGTAGGGGATAGAATGGGAGTGCATTAGGTGGGGGGGGAATTGTGTGTAGGTATGGGTGAGGGAGAGGAATGTGTGGGGGATGAATGAGGGAGGGGGATGGGTGGGGGTGATATGTGAGGTTAGGTGAGGAAGTATACAAGAAGGTGGTTGGGGGATGTATGGGTGGGGGTTATTGAGGGAAGGATGTGGGAGAGGGGGAGGCCTGAAGATAGAATTGAATAGCTACTGCCTTGTAGTTGTTTGTGGTGAGACTGAACTTTCAATTATTTGATTTTCCAAGATAAATATCAGAAAGTAAGATTTTTGCACTGCTGTAAAAATTGCTGTTGGCAATTCTTTTACACCTTGCTCACAATTCTTAGTCAAATGTTTTTGTCTAGTGAGGTTTTGAGCATCCACCATTACCTCGGTAATAAAATGTCTAGTCTACTGGAAGACGAGACATTTCTGGAAGGGCTCCCTCAGTAGCTCAGTTTTAAGGGCTGCTACTACCAGTCCTTAGAAAATTGCATCAGGCCCGCAAGATCCACCTTGCTTACATGGAGCCACAACCAAAAAAAAAGGGGGGGGGGGGGTGAGATTAAGGAGCTTATGGATCGGAGATTATCCCAAACCTCGGAAAAAACTTGGTAAGCAGGGCAGATCCTAAAAAACCAGCAACAACTAGTAGAAAAATAGGAATTCTGGAGGTAAGGTGGTTCATGAGTGAGATGGCAGGGTGGCCAAGACCCCAGGTGCCCTGGGCTGCCCATCTAATGGTTGTCAAGCTCATCATGGATAAGTTGTATACCCAGTGCAGACGAGGAGTCACAGTAACGTGGCTGAAATATGTTGACCAAACCACGCACTAGAAAGTGAATCAACTTGACACAATCGACTTGAAAATGGTCCAGGACGGACCAAAACATTGTTGTCCCTTCACTTCCTAGTGTGTGGTTTGGTTAACTTGTATACCCTGCAGAAATTATCATTTGCCTTGTTTGCCTCGTGGTTCCTAATTTCCCTCGAGCAGTTATTTGCTTTGTTGCCCCAGATATTTTGCTTCGGCTTCCAGTAGGCAAGGGTGGGTTTCATAGGCCTGGTGTGATCTTCCGAGACATGGAAGTATGGGTCTTGGCATTTTTTTGGGGGGTAGCTACTGGGGACCCAGCAGGAAAGTGCTTTTCAAAACATATAACACTTGACTTTTTTATGAATAATTTTGTTCCGTGTTTTATTTTGTAATTAATATAAATTGTGTGATGAACAGGAATGAATTGGAGCGCCAGTACTTGGTAATGATCCAGTTCAACATAAATGTGCCCTCCTCTGTCTATGCCAAGTATTACTTCAGCTTACGCACGCTGGCAGAGGCCAACGATTTGTCATTCCCAGCAGAAACTCTGAGTAAAGAGCGTGCCCAGAAGTTGGAGGCCATGTCACGTATCTGTGAAGATAAGTATGCTGCCCAGATGGGGCGCAATGGCCATAAGAAGTGGAACAGTCTGGACAATATCAGTGCTGCTGCCTCTCGACGCTCGGTAGCGATCCTTTCGTGATCTTAGGTTCTAAGATAAAGTTATTATGCACAGAGGTCTATAAATATGTTAAGAAATATACATCATCTTGCTTCAGTTTCAACCTCCATGTTTGTTAACTTTGGTGGTGGTGATATTTTTTTATTACATGATGAAGCCAGAGTTCATGATGACCATGTTGTGCTGGTCCCTGACTAATCTCACAATATTTGCCAAACACATTATGACTAGCAAATTAAAAGATACTATTTTACCTCACACATTTGATACAAAAACTGTGTTGTATGTGAAATATATGAAGTCTTTTATACAATGGGGATGTAGTAATGAAAAACAAAGTATTGTATGACAAATTTATATATGTGTATAGCAGTGTGCAAACACTTGAAAATAAGTGTTCATTACTAATTAATATGAAAGAAAATGTGGAAAAGTATAGTTTGCTTCCTCAGTGAGAAACACTAAAATATGAAAGGGAAGCAAATATTGATTGTGTCTTGAGACAGTGAAAGCCTTTATTCAAGCAATATATAAAAATAAATATATAAATATATTACCTTGGACGATGAAATCTTTTTATTGGTTTCCAGCATTTTTATATATACTGTAATGTAAAAATTTAAAAAATTATAAAACTTGCATTCGACTGATACTATACAGTGATATCTAGTGTACATTTCCAAGAATGGAAAGTGCGCGTAACAGAGGTAATCGGGTAGTGTTGTGTGTACAGGTATGACTGATATTTTGCAAGGAGTGATAATCACTTAAGCCATTTTTTACTGTGATGTGCCACTGTTGAGAACGAGGCCATTTGTGTCCGAGTTAATCTCTTGCGTCTATGTTATTAATTCATCTTTATAACAAGTTGTTGTATTACTTCGTGTAATTACGTATCGATCATTCACCTTATCGGCTTTTTGTAGCTAGGCATAATTGTTCTTTGGTATATATATTATTTTGTGCTTGTATTACTTTAGAGAATACAATGGAATGGTATGCAGACTTCAGGTGTGTGGAGATGCTCTCAACAAGTTCGCTAGAGGAAGAAATGGTACTGTATTTGCCAAAGTTGAAGTGTGAGGAGGATTATGGATTAACATTAGGAAATTCTACTTGCATTAGATTCATTTCTTAATAAATAAATAATTAACATAGGCATACATGCATTCATGTTTACACACTATTGCTTCAATGCCTTACTGCCTCCTGGGAGCTTCCCATCATGGGGTGCCTACAGCAGAAGGTTCTCCAGGAGGTTCAATCATCACACAAGCCTCTCACTCTTTCAGGCTCTAAAACCTATTCTCCCCCCCCCCTCCCCCCCCTCCCCCCCCACCATTCCTTTTGTATATTGTTTCTCTCTTCCTTGCCAGGATATTGGTTGCATGCTTCTACCATACAAGCCCTTTATATTAACTTGTACACCCTTCTTGTTAAACGATTCTTCGCCATTAATAAATACATCATCTGTGTTTTACACTTTGCCCACTCCACAGCGCCACAATTCATTTCCCTCACCCCTGTCATTCACTCCACGTCTTGCTACTATACCCATCCTACACACATCAGCCATATTTTTAATAGCAAAAATAAACAAATGTACTAGTGTATGTACTATTGAGCTCTTGGCCACTGTCCATACCCACATTTCACTTCTATATGTCAGGCTGAAGTTATATACTGTCTAACCTTTCTGTACTCCTGTACTGACATTGTTTCATTACTGTTCACCTCTTCTACTCCTTCCACATAAGTTTCCATAATGGGTGACCCCCATGTTGAATTTGAAGTAGACTTGTTAGTGCTGTCTCCAAGCACTATAGTGCTCTCACGTAATGGAGAGCACTATAGTGATGAATATCTTAAAGGTTACAACATTTTGGCTCATGCCTAACTTACGCCATCCATCCATCCACCAGAACACTTGATATATTTTAACAACTCTTCAACTCACTCTTATCACTGTAGTAAATCAGTGTAGCCAACCTTCTGTTGATGAAAAGTTCTGCGTGACCGTTCTGTGTGTGTATTACTGTAGTTGCATTAAGTTTGTTGCACTTCTGCCTTGCTTTAGCTTGGCATAGCTGTTCAAGTTACCTATATCTATCATTATTGTTCATTTAATTTTTAAAGTGTATATTGAATATTTTGGGCTTCTCTTCCTCTCGGCTTGACACACTCCTTCACTTATCTTGTCCTTGTCCTCTTTATGTTTTGACTATAATTAAGACTTTTTAACATTTTTTAAAACCAGGAACACTTTTATTTTGAGTTAACTAGTTTAAAGTCCATTTTAGTGAAAAGTAACTTCTTATTGTATTAAGAATGTTCATTTAAATTGATCTCATTTGATTGTGCCATTCTTACTTCAGTACTACACCTGGTCATTGAATATTAGAGGGGGAAAAGGTAGTTAAATCATATGGCTGAGCAGTGTTGCTATAGTATCGCTCGTGTTGCTACAGTGCATGCAAAGTTACTTGTTTCGGTACAGCTCGTGCTCTACCACAGCTAACCTTACAGGTTGAGCACTAATAACTTATTGAATCTGCTGCTCAATATGACCTTATTTTAATCATATTACAAAGAATACTTTGCTTATTTTTTACAGAGTTTTATATATGGTTAAGTATTCAATTGTTATATACTGTGTTGCCCAAGGCTCTGTGTTTTTACTCTGTCCCTTTTAGTGAAATATTAGTAGGAAGCTCTGTACTGTTATTTTATACCTAGTGAAGAGAGCCACAACATTATCATTAAATAGTTCTCCAGTATGGCTATATAGTGGCTTAATACTTTCTTCTGATTATAACATTTTAACATCAAACTTCCTGCCTTTACTGAATTATATCCCACATTCAGAGAAGGTTGCTGATGCAAATTCTGTCTTTCACCTTTGACATTCTTTACAAAACAGTGTTTGAAAGATGCTGGCAATGGCCAACATGTATAGTAACACAAGGTATTGTTAAGTGTGAGTAGCATTTCCTAACCTAAAACTATATTCCTTCAGCTGTCAGGGCGCCTGACAGCTGAATGGAGAAGCGCTTCAGATTCGTAGTCCTGAGGTTCCGGGTTCAGTCCCCGGTGGAGGCAAAGACAGAGAGGCAAAATGTTTGTCACCCTGATGCCCCTGTTACCTAGCAGTAAATAGGTACCTGGGAGTTAGACAGCTGCTAAAGACTGCTTCCTGGGGGTGTGTAACAAAAAGGAAGCCTGATCGAGGATCGGGCCACGGGGACGCTAAGCTCCGAAATAATCTCGAGATGACCTTCTTGGGTAATAATAATAGAAAATAGGATAAGGCTCAACTAGAAAATATAAAATATGCAGATTTTTTAATTAAAAGTACTACAATAAATATGGAAATGATTATTTAGGATGCTTGTTTTAAGGGTTGACTATTCAGACGTTTGCATTCCAATTGCATGTTAATGCATCATCCACTGATTTTACTCGGTTGTTCTGATGCTTTAACGTGGCATCCAATCCAAAATATCCTTGAATTGTTTCATTAGCAATTATATGTTGTGCCGACACCTCACATATCCGACATTGGTTATTTATCATCTTTTGCCATGTTTCAGACTTAATTTTCTAACATTTTAATTCCAAAATCAATGTTCTAAGCCTATAAATAACTTTTTAAACCAAAAGCGAGTGAACATTTATATCCAAACATTTTGATACTAACCCTATAAATAGCTTCGCAACAAAATATGTTCAGTAAAAATCTTTTACATATCTCTGAGCAAGGGACAGGAGTGCGTGGTTCAATTTGAATGAGAAAATGTTTGTCTCCTCCCCCCCCCCCCCTTTCCCCAAGAGTGCAAAAGGATTAATATTTTGTTTTGTTCATTGTATTGGTAATGGAATTTAGAAGTGGCAAACTATATAAAAAGTGTCTAGGGGGAGGGGAGAGAGCAGAGCAAATGATAAAGGGCAGCAGGAAATATTTAATATTAAAGTGCAGGGTGATACTGGTGCAAGTGACACAGTACACATGACCACTAAGCCTGGGTCTGGCCAGCAGAACATGGTTTAAATGAAGTAGTTGAGGTGGTGTATTTTGATAATCTGATAGGGACAGTCTATTAAATTGGTTTGTTGCAGTTTCCTTAAACGGGGTAAGGTTATGTCCATGTGGTGGCCATTCGATTATTGGCCAAGATTTGTGCTTGATGAGACGAACAAACTTGTAACGTTGCGTACAGCTCCACAAGAAGGATAAGGAGGGAAGGCAAGTTAGTTCTGGATGATGTACTACTGAAGTGCCACATCAACATAAACAAAGTAAATAGTTTGTGCTTATTTAGGTCCAAACACTGCTGAGCTTGGAGTAAGAATTAAAGTGTGGGGGAGTATGAAGAATGGTTACAGACAACCAGTGTAGGGTATTTCTTTGCTAGTGCTCTTAGTGGGTGGACTTGTAGCCATCAATATGTACAAATTGCTTTAATTACATCTTGGGTGAAGATAATTTTACCTAATGATGCTATTCCTAGTAAAAATGATGTTAGAAGAAACATGTTACTTTCATATACAAAATACTTTTTTTCTATATCAAATCTTGTACATATTTAACATTCTAATACTCGCTGTCCTTGACATTTATAAAATAGCGACTTGTCATACAATACTACATACATACTTATTTTATAAATTCATAGTCATACTTGTCATGCATTTTTGACACATTATTCATTGCTATCCCTCTTCCTAACTTGTATTGTGTTCTTTGCACACTATTGTTACACAATTTTTTCTCATTGCTCCACTAAAGATGTTAGTTATGTTTTTATTGTAGTGTACGTGGTTCGGGATTCATATATTTGTCAGCAGCATGGGTTCTGCATTCCTTGCAGCATCCTCTATCAAGCTTACATGTATTCTTCCCACTACACCAGTTTGTATGTGCTTTGCATCAGTACTGCATTCATTTTGTAATTTTCTTCAGTTATTTATCATCAGAATGTTTGAATATTTTGAGCTGCCTTGATTCTTGTCTGACAGCCACATTAAAGGCTACCTCTTCCCTCCTACCACTGACAACAGCACTTCATTGAATGTTTGTCAAGCTCTCGGGAGAAGGGCATAGTGAAATTATTTGCCATCCGTCATTGTTGTGATTAGAAAAACACACACCATGTGCACTTTTGTTACTCGTGAGGCAGTTTTGGGTCGCTCAATGAAGGACCATGGAGGCTTTGGGCCTCTTGTGAACGAGGCGGCTTTGGGTCATTAGTGAGGTCATTTTCAGTCTCCCATTTGAATGTTAACCTCACTACATAAGAGTAGAAAGCCTCCATAAAATTCAATGTTAACATTGTGAAGTAAAGAATTGAGGTTTATAATATTATTACTTATTAATATTGCATGAATTTTTGTTGCCAAAAAAAAAAAGTTACTATTCCACTAACAATTGCTCGGTTTTATATCCACCATCGTTATCGTCCACACGACATCTTTCTACACACGTTTACTTCTTGGCCGCCATTGTACCCCTCAAATTTTTTTCCATAAAATGCTGTATTAAAAGTTTATTTTTTTTTTTTAATTATACGTGTAGAATGTTTTGCATATAGAATAACTTGGATGATTGTTAAATTGTCATAAATTTAGTCAGATTATTTCCACAGCTTTTTTTTTGTGTGTGTCTGTGTATGTGTGTGTGTGTTCATTGACACATGTGGCTCTTTCACTTTTCTCAAATATTTTAGGTGGATAGAATTTTATATGACTTTTTTTTTTATATATGCAGTCTGGGGAAAACAGAAAGAATGTAAAATATAGTGAGACTTTTTTCTGTGGAGAGCCCCTTCGGCTCCCTGGAGCTATCGGGCTAATGTGTGATATATTAGGCCTGGGCATTAGTTTAAGGAGTTTTACCTACTGGGGACCACGAGCCAGAACCTGGCCCCACTCAGAGAGGTTGCAGGGAGCAATAGCCCAGGAAAACTTCCCTGTGATTGGGGGGGTGTTCCTTAAATGCCATTAAACCGGGGTTAGGCACCCAGAAAGGTAGGCATAACAAAACAAACCCCACGTGGTAAAAAATTACAACTAAAAACCGAAAAGAGGTAGAACTCCCTCCAATCCCAAGGAAACAAGCAAGTCGCACTCCACCGCCGTGCCGCTCGTCCGCGTTGCCCTCCCCTCCCTGAGAGGGGAAGGGGAAGCCCCGGACTTCCATGCACCTGCTGCCCGAGCACTCCATTTTGTTAGCTAATTTGGTCTGGACGGACGTCTTCTCTGGCCTCGATTTGCAAGGCGGTGTTTTGTCTTTGTGGCGACTTCTGCAGTGTTGTTGTTTGTCGTGGCCAGGTGTTCCTCATCAGTGCTGGGGCTGCATGCACTTAGGGACTTCCTTCCCTAGATGCCCTGTGAGTACTTCTGCGTATTGGGGTTCTCTTCCTCGGTGCGTTCGGGATAACCATTTCTGTAAGGGTTCTTGCTGCTCAGCATTTACCCCAACTTTGGGGCCAACTGGGGTTTTGTGGCCCTTGTTTGGCCTTAGGTAGGGAGTGGTATCATGCTGGTTGGGGTGTCAGGGTGTTGTGCTGCTTGCCTACCTATGCAGCGGCCAGTTCCTGTTTCCTCTGGAGACGTACTTTTTTATTTTTTTTTTTTTTTATTTTTTATTTTTTTTTTTTTTTATTTTTTTTTGCCTGGTATGGCTATTGTTCAACTTATAATATGAGGCGTTTCTTGCCCGAAACGCTATGCGTATTAGTGGCTTTATGTATTGTATGTACTAGCTCTATCTATAAATCCAACAGTATGTTTGTACCTCTGCATCTATGTATGTACTTTTCCTAAATAAAATATTATTATTAATATTATTATTATATTTTGGTGGCCTCTGTGCTAGGCCCCTGTGATTGTACATGTCGCAAGGGTTTCAGTGTTTTGATCTCCCCCTTTGTTAGCTTTGGGTCTTAACCGGTTAGCAACACCTTGCCCGGGCTTCTCGTAGCAGTCAGCCTACGGGCCCTGGAAAACCCTGTCGGGGCTCGGTGGACCAATGGATGCATCTTCAGAGTTCTAGCCTGCCTTGTGCAAGTTTAAAGGTTGCTGTGTGCCCTTGTCTCAGGGTGACAATCACCTCTTTTTGCCTGTCAGGCTGCCTGTTGGGTCAACAACACCTTTGACCCAGAGTCTTGCGAGTCGTATTCTCTGCTTGTTCTCCAGTACTATTCTGATGACATTACTATTAGGGTACAGGCAGCATCTGCATTGCATGCA